TGCAGGACCCTCTCACCTGTAAATGTTCCTGCAAATTCACACAATTAGACTGCAAGTCCAGGCAACTTGAGTTAAACGAAAGAACTTGCAGGTTTGTTTACCATACATACACGATAAACATGCCTTGAACACCCCCCCGCCCCCACCTTTTTTTCCCCCACTGGCCTATCCATCTCTCCACCCATCTCTGTGCGGATGGGCTTCCTGCTGAGAAACGCATGCTTCTCCCTGCTTTTTGGTGTTTTGTTGGTGTTTGTTGATGGGAATGTAGCAGCTCCGTGCTTCTCTGTGCTTGCGTTGTCTCTTGTCAGATGCAACAGTCTCATCAGATTTGGTGATGTCCTGAGATTACCACTGAAATGCAGTTTTTTATTCCAGTCTGAATGTTTAAGATGTTACACATAGCTTCTTTGCATGACACTATGTTATTTAACCCAGACTTGAAACATTTTATGAACGGATTATTTGATAGATTAATTAATGCAATAAAATAAAATGCCGTTTTGTAAAACATCTATTGTAATATATGGAATCGTAACACGTGTATCGTGATATGTATCGTATCGCTGCTCGTATTCTTGACAATACACAGCCCTAGTAATTTTGTGATTTTTCACTTAGGGCTTATAGATAAAAACATAGCAGTGAGTATCAAATCTGCAGAAACTGTTTCTGCATTTAACAATCCACAGACCTCACTGGGAGCACTTTTCATAGAGAATATTTCTTGAGTAGGAAGGAGTTCCAATGTAAGCTGTATTTGTATGTTAGTTTTCAGGGTGTCCTGATGGCCCGATGGTCAAGGTCACATGTCACACCAACTCTCTCCCCTTGTTTCCTGTCTTGCTATAATTGACCTGCATTTTATTGGGCTGAAGGCAGCAATCTTAGAGACATAAGACCAACCCTTAGTGTGAAAAAAAATTCTTGACGTAGAAAATAGAAGGCTGACAAAAACAAATCTTAAGTCACTGTCTGCTTACTATCTTTTTAGTCCCAGAGCTTTCATGGTCTTCATCAGCGGATAGTTTGCTCAGTGATTTTTCCTCCATTTGCTGATGGAGGCCATGAGATACAGCTGGAAGCTCTTGGGAGGAAGTCAGACAGTGGACCTTGAATTTTTATCACAGAACTTTTTGCATGGTCTGATATCACAAGAAGGAACTGAAACTATCATTAGTTTTTTGAAAGTACGAAAGCCAGAATTTGGAGATACAAGGTTTTCACAGGTCATTGATAGTATATTTGTCAATCTGTAAGGTGAATTTCATCTTGCTTTGTTTCCAGTAGTCAAAAAATACCTCATGCAGTTCTAAGGTAGACTGATAGTCTTCATGCTGCTTGCACGTCACATGTACCGGCTCTTACTCGTGTTTGCTAGTAAAAAACACTCAAATACTAATGACTGGAGTTAAACTCATCATCCTGACTGTGTGCAGCACGTAGCCAGATTCACGACCTCCCCTGACCCAGCCACTTCCATGACCTCTGACCCCCAATGGACCCCACACATTGCTTTGGATTTACACACTTCTGGGTGGAGTGACCACTGACGTGATTTCAGTTGGCTGCTCAGAGTTCAGGAGAGAGACTGGAAGGGACCTAAGGGTGGGGGGTCTCTGGAAATGGTGCCTGTTCACTCCCAGCTCTCCACTTGACCCCACCCCTCAGTTCCAGCTATAGCCCTGCCTCCTGAACCCTGAGCTACCACAGTCTTAGATTAGTTTATTTGCACACATGTACATAAAAAAGACAGAAAAGACGAAGTTCAATCTGCAAGAGAGGAGGGAAGCCAAAATGGCTTATGAAGATAGCTCTCCAGTATAAATAGCAACAGACATACTTAAAGCAAAGCTAAATTCATCAGTTCCAAGCTCAGTCTCAAGAATCAGTTTCATGAAGGTTAAATCAAGCGTACATTTTATACACAGCAAATAAAAAGTACCAGGAGGTGGGAACTGACCCAGACTATCTATCCCACAACCCCCCTCACTATTCACTTCTGCTTCCTGTTCTGCCCCCGTCTCTCAATAATCCCTGTTTTGCATGGAGCAGTTATAGACTTTGGCTTTTCCTTCTCGCCACTTAACCAGACTTTCATCTTGTCCTCCACAGATGTGACAAACCTAGGAGATGAGACCGGCAACACTGTTATGAAGGAATTATTTTCTTGGCACAGCACTTTGAAACCTGAGGATGCATTCCCTGCAAGGACACGAATCGACAACGCAAGACAGGACATTCTGGACTCAGATCTTGCCACTGTCTGTTTTCCGCCTAAAGATATTAATATATATGTACATATACTCTAAGTACATCGACAATGTGTATTGCTGCTACATAAAAAGACACTATTTAAAGCGAAACGAATGCGCCACTGGCGCGTGAATGGGAAATGTTTTCTGTGGCGTTCTGCTTATGGGTAGAACTGGTAGAAGAAATCTTTTATTTTGTGTAACACTTCACTGGATGCTGGTCTGCTGTGGATATGAATATCTTAAATGTTTCTTAGTAAGAAAAAACTGGTGACCACAACTTCATCTAACAGTGCAGCAGAAGCCGAACTCGCCTCAGAACTCTGAAAGTAGAGTCTGGGAGGAGACGGAAGAAGGACGAGGAGGCGGAGGTGGAGGAACGCCTGTTGTACTTGAACTGAATGGCAGGTCCAAGAACTGATTCCCTCTGTGACATGATGTGAAGTTTTGTCTCCGCTGTATGGACTGACTCCAGCTGGTGTGAGAATACGCCTAGAAAGTCTCTCATAGTTTCCTGAAGTGACTGTGGGCGCAGATTACGTACCAGATAATGTGAAGATGACATTATTTCCTCGAGGAAGGGTTACACGATGATGGCAAGAACTGGAAGGCTAGCTAATGGTGAAGTCTTGGCAGGTAAAACGACATTAGATTAGGGTTATGGTTAGGCCTATCCCTATAAGTGTGGGCAAGTAAACAACTTGTGTTGGCATTCAGGGTGTGACAAGAGTTAGGAATTGGAAGCTTCGATCAGGTAAAGGTAACAAACCACTTCCTCTTTCTGGTCCTGTGTCCTTCATGTAACTCTTCCTTGGTGGGAAAACAGATTTTTTCTTTCTTTTTGTACACAAAGTTTATTATTTACATGTTTAGGTATTGTGTTCCTTTCACAAAATGTCTTGAGACCAGGCTGTCTAAAGGGATATTTCTGTAGGTGTATACAGAGACAAGACATAACTAGACCAGCTGATCACAGATCAGATGAGCACATCACTGTAGAAATCCACAACCTTCCAGTTTCCTTATTTAATGGCTTTGTGTGTGTTCCAAAGAAATAGTCTGGCATCCACACCAGAGTAGTTTATCATAAACGATCTGTATATACTTACTAGATATCCCTTTGTCTAGTACACTAGATCTAATTTATAGAATATGTTCAGTATTCTGTATTCTGATATTTATATGCAGTGTTATGGTTATTTTTGTTTCTACTCCTCAACTGTTTTCAATCTACCCGGAGATTGAATGGAGAACACATATGACTGTAGACTCCTTTTTTGTGGGAAAAAAGGACTGAAAGACAAAGCTTTGACATTCCTGATTTCAACTAAAGCTGTGTCTCTCACCAGCCGGAGGGGGAGATCATGGTGGGCCTGTTGACCGATAGAAACCCCAGACGCCAACATGTGCTTGCATGATGCGCCAACACAGGTGTTTTTCATTTTGGACTGGGGTGATGGACATGTGGTTTTGCACTTGTGGGCCCGAAGACACGACATATGGAGGACTGAAGGAGTCTCGTTGCTGCCGCTCAGCTCGGACCTAATTTAGTGAAGACTGTCCAATCAGACTGAGGCCTCTAGTCTGAGGATGATAAACTGGCACAGTGTTTTCTCTGATTTTAACCCAGGCACTAACAAAGCATCCTCGCTCACTATTCATTGAGATAATTTTTTGTGCTCTGGAATTAATAACTCGTGCTCAAATGAGTCATTTGTACCGTCAAATTCCTGTAAAATACCGTAAAGGGATGTCAAAAGTCACACCAAAGCTAAAACCCTGAATACAGTACATATGTTTCAGTCAGAAAGCTACGGAAGACAATCAGGGCCACATGTGAATTTTTTTTAAATAAAATAAATAAGTTTTTTTAAGTCAGAATTCTGAGTTTAAAGTTAGAACTAAATTTTTTTTTCACATGGCCCTGATCGTCTTCATTCAATTATTCATTCAAAAGTGTGAATTATTTATTGTACTGCAGAACATGGCTCAAGTCAGTGATTTTTTTTTGTGACATTTATTCTCCTGAATGCTACCTGTGTTTCCGTTAGTGCCGACTGTACCACTGCTGTTCATGTGAATTGACCTTCTGTGCCACCATCCTCAAACTGGGGGCCTGAGAGAGACCGGCTGCTGGCTCAGTGCCCGCACCTCTCCAGTCCTCTGGTGATGACAACATTCTATTTCTATTTAAATGACAGACTTGTTCTTGAGTTTGTACAGCCACACATTTTTAGTATATTTTCACATTAATATATTTATTGGTGCTGTAAAATGTTTTACAATATTAATACTCTTTTTGTTGTTGTTTTTAGTGTAACTATTAAAACATATTTATTTTGAAAATACATTGATTTTTCTTATTAAATGTCAACTAGTTTCAAGGCGTATCTTTTCTGTGTATAAATGATGGTGTGAGATACAGTTGATTGCGATGCAAGAGGACAAATGTGACATGTTTCACATCCTGGTAGATCATTAACAGACACGATATATTCACCATGTAGACCAACACAGAACTCCATCAAAAACATTTGCAGCAAGTGTTGCAATATATTTGCAAGACTACTGTATTTATTACTTATATTCAAGTGATAAACTGGAAATGTTACTATGATTATTATATTCCATTACTGACAATAGATCTCCTCCTCCACACTTTTATTATATATATATATATATATGTTAGCATGCTAACATTTGCTAATTAGCACTAAACCGTACAGTTGAGGCTGATGGGAATTTCAGTAGTTTTCCTAATCTAATCTAATAGTTGTTGAGATATTGACCAAACAACTGTTAGTCTTGACCAAACTGGTAGACCAACCATAGACTATATAAATAAAAATGGACTCAATGTGGTCAGCTTAAAAAACAAAAATGGGCAAAAAGTGAGGCGTGGGTGGAACTGAGGCAGGCTGGATAAAGCCTGCTTACTGAAAACAGCCACTTGTGACAGCACTCACCTGTCATTCAAAGCAGCCGCACTCTTAATTATGCATAACTTTTCTCCTTAATATAATTTAAACGGATGAGTTATGTAAAGATTTACTCCCCGCATAGTTGTCATGAATTAAATTTTTTTAATTCAATTCAATTCAGTTTTATTTGTAAAGCGCCAATTCATAGCAAAAGTTACCTCAGGACACTTTTCTTATAGAGCAGGTTTTATACCGTATTCCTTATAACATTATTTACCGAGACCCAACAGTTCCACATGTTCCACCATGAGCAAGTACTTGGCAGCGGTGGCAAGGAAAAATTTCCTTTTAAGAGGCAGAAACCTCGGACAGACCCCAGCTGAATGAGAAAATGAGCTAGAGAGACTAAAACAGTTTTTTTGTACCAGGCTGTAAACATTTTTGTTTCTGCTGTAAAGGGCATTTTTATATGGGGCCTTATGGAGTTTGAGTCACTGCTGGAGCCAGCCTCAAGTGGAAGTTAGAGGGCCTGCAGATTTTGTTACTTCTCTGTTACTTCATTTGCAGCCACCGGGGTTGCAGCTTGGGACCAACAAAAAAACATTGCCATCTGTGACAAACTTAACACAGTAATGACAGTGTTATTTCAGTTACTTTTATTGTTATTTTCATTACACAGCTTTAAATTGTGTGTCGGATTTAGTGGCATATAGTGGTGAAGTTCCAACTAACTGAACACCACTTGCTTCGTATTTAATGACCTGTGAAGGAGAACGTTCTGTGAAGTGTGTAAGAGAAATTGGCCCTGTTGAGAGCTAGTGTTTGATTTGTCTCCTCTGGGCTACTGTAGAAACACGTCGGCTCAACATGGCGGGCTCCATGGAAGGCAACCCACTCCCTCTGTAGATATAAACAGCTCATTCTAAGGTAATGAAAACACAATTATTCTTATTCAATTCCTGACCTGTTATGTACTCCATGACAATATTGATGATGTAGGCGACACTACTATGAGGGGGAAGCTGCTGATATTATTGATATCATTTATAATGCATTTGGAGATGCATTCAAGTACAGTCAGAAATTTGTGTTCCTGTAAGAAATTATTCTGTTTGTTATTGTCTGGGTATGAGATATTTAGGGTGTCCAACCCTGTAGTGAGGATGGTGAGTCCCTAATAAAGCATACAGAAGGTTTAAGAACATGTGAACTTTGTTCATGCTGCTGAGTGACAGCTGACTGGAAAACATGTGAGAGTTCCTGTAACATGAACTCCTGAGTCAGGAGCCATAAAGACAACGTGGGAGCACTTCACTACCTCTGAGGTAGCTTCCACAAAAGATTAGTATTAAAGTGCTGAAGCACTTCAGTATAGCCGATTTGAGGCATAAATAAGGCCTGGTAAGAGTCCTTGTGCTACTAAATACTCCCAAGAATGCTGCAAATGATTTGATCTCTGATTAAAGGGGAATTTTCTAAAATCAGGCCAACTTTGCCCTCTTGTTAACTAGCAAAGTGAGTGTGGCTGGACTTTAAACTGCTCCCTGACTAATGCCGCAGTAACCTGGGAACAAGCTATCTGTCATAGTTTTCATAGGATTAAAGGGACAGTTCACCCCCAATATCAAAAATACATATTTAATACATATTTTTGATATTAAATCAAATGAAGTTACTATGAACCGCCATGGCGGACTCCATAGAAGAGAACCTGCTCCCTCTGTAGCGAAAAAAGGCTCAATTCTAAGCAGGGGCATTTCCAGACTTATTTGATTGGGGTGGCACAAGTTAGGCACTGACTTCTGCAGTGGAGGCATAAAGTATCTGTCTCAGCTTTCCATTCATTTTCAATTTGTGTAATCCCAACACTGTTTATGGACCCCAAAATGCAGAAATATTCAAATACACTAAGCGAAAACCATTTACATTCAGATATCTTTAGTTCAGAGGTCAAGGGACCCCTTGAAAAATTGCCATGCCAGTTTTTCCATCACCAAAACTTAGCTTAACTTTGAAATGTGTTGTATAGCCCCCGTCCTGACAAGCTACAAATGGATGGGTTAGGTCTTTTAGTTTCATATGATACCAACATCTTCCCTCTAACTTTAAAACGGAGCCCACTACAGCCTCTGAAAGACAGAGGGAAGGATAATGGGGTGGAACTATTGCCCCTAATTCTAAGGAAATGGAAAAACAATTATTATTATTTTCAGGTGATTATACGATTATATTCCATTTCTGCCAATAGATCCTCCTAAATGTTACACACTTGGCCTTTAAATTGTGTTCAAACTAGATAAATATTGTAGCCTTTGCATCTAAAAAAGTACAGTTGTAACTGAATTCTGAAGGTTATTTTAAAACATACACCTGTACATCAGGCCAGAGCTGACCAGGACTAATAGGCCTCTTGGACTGGTAATTGGGAGCACTGGGAGCAATCCTGGTGGGCCACTTGAGCAGCACTTGCGTTGTCAGCCCACTTTGGTTATGCACCAGCCCACATCTTCCTCCCCAGTATACAAACGTGGAGTATCGGGTTGGGGATCAGATTTTGCAGTCTATACTCACACACGTGCACCCTGAAACCACTAATCCCAGTTTAACCCCTGGTTGTACTTCTTCTCATAAACTGTGCAGTGAGTTGAGAAATAATACTTCCACACATGCTTTGGCTTCCAGTTTAACTACATGACACACGGAAAGTCAATTCAGTTCAGGTTAATCCCGTCACTGTTAACACAGTCACTTAGCAGGAAAAACAAATTTCCTTTACACCAAAACTGTTAGATGAATCATTCAGACTTCATGAATGGAGTGAATGATGGAATGAGGAACAGCAAATAGGGAAGGAGGAACCACTGGAAACTCTACTTGGTTCACACGGTCATGAACGTGCGTGTATGTGTGTGTTTTATAGTCTGCCTTTATCATGATGAGGATGATCAAGTCTTGTTTGCATTTTTTCTTGGATTTCTATTTCCAGTATTGGATATCTGCCCAAAACAGGCAGCAGTGTGAATGGTCCTAGTGAGGCTGCAAATCCTTAATAAATCCTTAATAAGTCAACCTCTGAGTGACTATAGAGCACACTGCATGGTAGATGATTTGTTCTGGAGGCAAGTTTTAATACACACTCAGTATTGTTTGGTCTATTTTTACTGCTCAGAAAGGTTCATTGAACGTGTAACATGTGGGCATCATGCAGCTGAAGTGATAGATTGAGAGAGAGACTGACTGAAAGGGCAGTCACACCCACCTCTGCCTTTTCTCAGTCATATCAGTCTGGCTTCGTCTCACTGGGAGTTAATGTCTACCAGCCTGCGGAGTGAACACTCTTGCAAAAGGAGGTGTAAGAGTGTGTGTGTGTGTGTGTGTGTGTGTGTGTTAATTCATGTGGGCATTTGCACTGGAGGAGGGGCCGGTTGGGGTGGGTTGGAGTGAAAGAGGTTGCAGCATCTTAGCAGCATTTTCTTCTCCCCCGTGTCTGCGTGGTGTAACCTGCTTCTGATTTTCCTGAGTAATTATTGAAGTGGAAAGTCAACAGTTGGGAAACTGTGCTGCTGCTGCTCAGGGCTACGTGGCTGTCTTTTTTAACTTGAAAAGAGCAGTCCATTCTCCATTTAAAAAAAGCTCTTTTAATTAGGTTTCTTGGTCAGAAGAACTGTATTGAAAAACTTGTAACACAGGGTTCCAGATGTCCTTAGATTATATAATGTGTGTATTATTATAGATAAGCTTCCTAACTTTTTTATTGCTCTCCGTGGCATTGCTGTAAAACAAAGATTTAGCACATATATTTTAATGTATAATGTACACACAGTTCTTATCACTGTTGTCAGGCTATTGACTTTAAAACCAGATTTAGCAACTCTTCTTACACCCCGGCTACAAGCGACAAATCTTTTTTCAGACAAAATTTTGCTAACTGCCAAGTCATTAAGCAAGAAATGGGAGCAGCTGATGCCAATGCATGCACACTGGGCTGCCTGTTGATCACTGCAATTCGTGTGAAACACTCCCCCTTCACCAAAAGCAGTCGGTAACACCTACAATATGGTCATATGCAAATCAGAATATGACATGATATGTCAAGTTGTGGCAACTTTCAGACTGTCCAAATACCATACAGTTATTCCTCTTGAAAATTTCCACATTTATAAAACCAGGTGTACGCCATGTCCTGCTCACCTTTTCTTGTATACATCCCAATCAACGTCAAGTTGACAGCACATGAACGAGCCACTTACCCCGGCTTGCCTCCCCCCATAAGTTACTATGCAAATGACTATAAATACACCACTGCTGTCATCTTCTGTCCAAATCTCAATGGCCAAAACACCTACAAAACAAAACAAAAAAGAAAAACTTGAGATGTGAGTTTCAGATCGAGGTGTTAATCACTGAGGTGGAGGCCAGAAAAATAATTAGATTTGGTGGTTTGTCCTCTGGACTAAGCAGCAAGATTAAATTCACGGAATGGCGGCGAGTAAAAGACGAGTGACTGCACATCTGCAGTGTTGCTGCTACAGGTGGGGGCTCGGGAAAGCCAGAACTGACGGCACATGAAGAAGGGGTTGTTTGAATTAGAAGCCCTCATCTCTGCGACTCAGACATGTATGTTACTCCTAGCTTACTCCTGGGTTCATCGATCCACAGCTCCTTTAGTCCTTCAGTCAGCCCTTCTACCAAGCAAGGCCACAACAGAGTTTACATATGAAACCAAATCTGAATCTCTTCTGTCTAATGGTACAATTGACTTGTGACAGTTTGGCAAAAGTTCAATAATGAATGAAGGACCTTCTCTCTCCGCCTTCATTCCTGTATTTCCTTCTTCAGTCTTCTTTGCACTTTCTCACGCTGGCAAAGGTCCTCTCATTCACAAATTCTTCTGTGATCATATCTGACGAATCACCTCACCGCCCACATTCCTTGAACCAGTAGCTTGTTAGATGCTGCCCTTTAAACATTATTGTGATCCTGCAGTCCTGTCCAACTATTGTGCAACCCATCACAATCTCCATCACCACCCTGATCTTCAGATTGTTCTGGGAGAGAGGCAGTGCCTGAATTGGACCAGGAAAGGTGCCAGTACCCTAATTAAGCACAACCCTAACCCTAAATAATCTTAGTATAAATAAATAAATAAATAAATAAATAACCCTTACCTTAGATCTTTCTGCATTTTTTTAGCCTTTTAAAAAATTACATTTTCAGTTCTGTCTTCTTAGCATTAAGTTAGCTGTGTTTAAATAGAGACGTGGTTTAGGAGTACCTCACCAGCATACGGTGTGCAGGGTTTTAGAAGTCCAAAAACTGAACTTGAAGGTTGGTGGTTCGATCCCGGCTCCTTGCATTGTATGTCTAAGTGTTCTTGAGCAAGATACAAACCCCAAATTGCTTGTTGCTGTATCGGTGTATGAATGAGTTAGTTTCTGTTGGCTGATGGCTGAATATAGTGTAAAGTGCTTTGAGTGGTCGGAAGACTAGAAAGGTACACAAGTATTTAATCTACCATCAATGTAGATTGGAGATAGAACAAGATCCCACAGATACACACATAGAGATATTGATGGTGCATTTCCAAATAATTTCCGTCATTGAAATGTCTTTCATCACTACACTCTGTTCCTCTTTATCATGTGGGAAAATGCGTCATGTGTTAAAAAGCCACAAATTGAGTGCCATGGAACTTCTTATTACTGTGTCAGCCCTTCCATTGCCACTGTAATGTTAAATTTGGAAATGTCTGACCATAAGAGTTGACAATTACCACCTAAATGCAACATAGTTCTTCTAATGCTAGCACTTGATTCAGTGATACGATCCCTATTAGGGTATACCTTCAAAGGCTACACTAATTTAAATGAGCCAACTGCTGATGTGGGACATTTGAGCACTGAGTCTGGTTTCTGTTTCTTTAAGATCCTCTCCAGACATGTATTAAGACCTATACAATACAACAACACAACAATATGTGTCTGATATCTTTTTTCCACAAAAAACATATCATTTCCACATTAAAATCATTAAAAAGTAATCTACTCCTTCTACCTCATTAAAAAGTTTTCCTGTTGGACTACTTCACTGTAAAGTCAATTTTCAGTGGATGTGCACTGGTGGCTTCAAGTTTCTACATCACACTGTACAAGTTGCATACTGGACCAGGACTGACTTCCTAACTGTTTTTGACGTCACAAATCATGCTGGTAGGCCCCGCCCCTTAAAATCTGATTTTCAATGAGCACAGAGAAACTTTCCAGCAGATGCATCCTTCTAGTATCAAACTCTGCACAGACACCATTCAAACAGCACACTGAAGGAACAAGAAGACACACTAACGTCTGACTAGATGGGACTTTCATATATATTTACATTTGTAAATACAAACTGTATTGTGACTTTTCAATTTTGTCTAATCATAGCAACTTTTCAGCAAATTTGACCAATCATTGTAGTTTCCCACAAGCAGTCCCCCACGCAAAATGTTGAGCCACACACATTACCAAACTACTTGTGATTTTATTCTCACTGGAAGAAGTTGCTTTAAAAGTTTTACGGTATATTTACAGTTAGGAAATCGCAACTATTTTTTGCAGAAATGCTCTTGCAGTTTTTAAGTAAAGCAGGGGTGAAATCAGGCATTTTAAGCCACAGCAATCCCAAATCCTAGATCATGGAAGGACTAATTTATTTAGATCTTAATCAGGAGAGACTTCTTTTTTTGAATGAACACTGATATGTGTACAATGGAGATGAGAAATGCGAAAAGTCAGCAAAAACGGCACTGAGAAGTTCACTTTAAAGGTTGAAAAGCAATGTGTCCTCCAGAGTCCCCATTACTCTGTATAACCCACAGACCTCTGAGAAGATGAATTATCCAGAATGAGACAGAACTCACATACAAAACATACATAAAATACATAACAAAAATGTTGTTTAATTGTAATTTTCAATGTTTTGAGATCTATAAGCTGAGTTCTGTTCATAATTACTTTCATCATATCTATGTTTTGCTTTTAGCTCAGAGGAAGATGAGTCAACAGCAGCACAGCACATGAAAGCAGCCAAATCTGAATTTCACAATCAAGATTGTGAACAGAATTTCACAATCAAGTCACCCTTGGTGAGTTGCTATGTCACAGGTGCTCAGTCATTTTGCTGTAATAAAACCTTCAAGTACTAATACTTGGCTCTATGCATGAGCTGTAAAGACATTAAAAGACTAACAAAATGTGTCAGCGCAGTGTTATTGAAGGTTAGTGTGTTATCAGAGAGTCATATTAATTGAGCAGCACTAAATTATTCATTATTATGAATATATACGCTTATTTATTTTGAGCTTCGAGCTGCTTAATGAGTAATTTAATGTGTAGTAGGGTCTGTATAAGCTGTAATGAGATCTGCTCCCTCAGGGAAAACATTTTTTGTGTAATTTTGATGGACTTTTTTATGATAATAATAATAATTTATAGCTCTGGTACTGGTCAATCAGAATAACTAAAGGTACCTGACTGTGAAAGAAAACTCTGTATCCCATGAGAGAAGTGAAGCAGAAGCAACACTGCGTCTTCCAACTGAGAGCATGAGCATGACATCACTGCATGCTGAAGTCACCGCGGTAACTGGAGCCTGAGGGACAAACACATCCAGCATCTGCTGTCCTGTCTTCACATGGACAATACTGCTGAAGTGCAATTTGTTTGTGCAAGTGACTGCACAAACAAATTGTTTCAAGATCACACATTACTCATGTTACTGTGTTAGGAGGTTATAAACAAGTTGTTACTTATTGATCTGCCAGAAGTAAAAACAGTACGTATGACGAGCTGCTCCTCTGTGAGCCTTTCCCTCCGTTTCTAAATAAATCTCTCTTTTCTCTTATTAGATCAGCACAGAACAATACAGCTTCAATTAGGATTCATATTCTACAAGTTTGTTTTCACTTTAACTCACCGTTCTTCAGTCTCAGACTTGGACTCACTAGTGTGCTGCAGGGATGAGTTAGTTAGCATTTTAGCACCTCTAGTTCCCTCTCCTTGAAGCCAATGGGTTCGCTGAATGTGTTTTTGGTTTCGTGTCTGAAATAAGGTCTGTGGTTAACACAAGTTTAAGAGATTTTCACATTTTGTTCTGCAACACAGAATACATCAGTCTGCCTTTACAGCCTTGTTGTGTTTATACTCACACTCTTGCAAACTATGCTAACTCAAACTTTACCACTTGTAGATTTTAATTACAAATTGGAAGTCTAGTGGTGGTGTAGTTGGTTTATATTGTAACATTAGTGTTTCACTTCTGGTGATTGTGTTTACTTATAAAAGTGGTGTTAATTTGGGTAGATTATCTTGTTGAACAAAACATGTATATAAACCTGTTCCCCACAGCTTATTTTCTGCAATAATCCAAATCCAGCAGCAGCACAGTGGCTCAGTGGTTAACACGGTTGGCTCATGAAGAAGGTCCATTTTCAAAAAACAAGATCCATCAAACTACTGTTTCTATTGACCGACTGCGCAAGTTGGCAAGAAAAAGCTGCCCACCCTCCCACCACCACCACCACCACGCTGCATATTAGGTTATACAAATACAAATTTATGTAAATAGTAAATCTAACTGAAATTTGAAATATATCAGTACAGGCGAAAAAAAAGAGAACCACTATCAGTGTCTGTAAAGTATCAGTGTGCATGAGAAGCCTGGCTGGGTGACGGTTTGAAACTGTGATGTGCTCTTTGGAGATAAAGTGACGGGATGCTGAAGGAACTGAGATAATACTAAGCTCATACAATCCTCTGGCAAGATTCAACTCACACTGCATCTCATATTCACACCCTGAGACGGTATAGCTCTGTGCACAATTACTTTTCATACATACATATAGCTTTAATGTTATTGTGTGTGTGTGTGTGTGTGTGTGTGTGTGTGTGTGTGTGTGTGTGTGTGTGTGTGTGTGTGTGTTGGACTTGGCAGACTGTGAAGTCTGGGAGTTATACTAATGCGATCGGGGGGCAAATGTGCCTGCATTGTGGTAGATAAGCTACATTAGTCTCAGTGTGGGTGCTCATACACTACTGTATGGAACCACCTACAGTATGTACACATGCTTACATGCACACATACGTTATAATACACAAACAATATATGAAAAAAACTGCATTGCAGAAGTCGGCCTCTTGCAGAGAGAGAATTATGAGGAGCTTAGCAACTTAATTTCTTGACCCAGTATGCCCCACGGGCCTCTTAGGGACACTTTCAGAAAGAGGACCAATAAAAGGTAGTAAAGTGTCTTCATCACACAGTAAAGCACAGGGTGATATATGGCGACAGGTGGAAGTTAGATGAGGAAAGTGCGGGCTGATGGACCTCTTTTCTCACATTGTCCTGTGTCCCATAATATCTGTCTCTTCTTTAAAGAAATTGTCTTTCTGTGTGTAACATCTAGCAGGGTCTATTGGCAGAAAATATAATATTCATAAGTATGTTTTCATTAGTTTATGAGAATTAGGAATTGTTGTGTTTTCACTTTAGAATGAGCAGTTTTTAACTACAGATGCAACGAGTTGCCTTCCATGGAGTCCACCATGTTGAACCACCATGTTTCTACAGTAGCACAGAAGGGACAAACCAAATTCTGGCTCTAGATAGAATTGTGATTTGCATGTTTACTACACCACTGGATGCCACTAAATCCTACAAATTGGACCTTTAAAGCAATATTATGCAAGAATTATAAACAAGTTGTTACTTATTGATCTGCCAGAAGTAAAAACAGTACGTATGACGAGCTGCTCCTCTGTGAGCCTTTCCCTCCGTTTCTAAATAAATCTCTCTTTTCTCTTATTAGATCAGCACAGAACACTACAGCTTCAATTAGGATTCATATTCTACAAGTTTGTTTTCACTTTGACTCACCGTTCTTCAGTCTCAGACTTGGACTCACTAGTGTGCTGCAGGGATGAGTTAGTTAGCAATTTAGCACCTCTAGTTCCCTCTCCTTGAAGCCAATGGGTTCGCTGAATGTGTTTTTGGTTTTGTGTCTGAAATAAGGTCTGTGGTTAACACAAGTTTAAGAGATTTTCACATTTTGTTCTGCAACACAGAATACATCAGTCTGCCTTTACAGGCTTGTTGTGTTTATACTCACACTCTTGCAAACTATGCTAACTCAAACTTTACAACTTGTAGATTTTAATTACAAGACTTAATTACAAATTGGAAGTCTAGTGGTGGTGTAGTTGTTGTTTTTTTGTGCAAATCACCACCACTTGTCATGATTACATTACCTATGATCAAAAACTAGCGAGTCCAAAAGCAAGAAGGCCAGCTTGCTGTCTGTCTGCAGCCTTTTATGTCATTATGGCTGGGGAGAAGGACATCTGGGCTACTTGTCCAAGCCTGCTGCCACCGCGACCTGGACATGGATAGGCAGCGAAAGATGGATGGATGGATGGTGCCATCTCATTTCTCAAGGTAGTGAGCTGTAATCAAACTATCCACTGGTAAGTTAAGAAGTTTAACCTAAGAATAATTTTCAGCTTCACAATAGTACAATATAGCCCAGTGGATAGTTTCATGTTGGCACTGTCACACCAGCAATATTTAGTCCACTGGAATCAAACCCTGGACGAAAACAACTGGTTTGAGATTTCTTGAGAAAGTTGGTTTGTCCCCTTCTGAGTGAACCCAAGAGCGGCATCCAGTGTGAACCAGATCCTACACCAGCAGTGTACTTGTGCGCAAACATTTCTTGATATTTCAGCTAGCTTAAAGAATGCGGCAAAATGAGTTGAAGACAGCTGAAATGCTCAGTGCTTAGCTTTTGCATGTAGGACAACTGTTGGTGTGGACAAGGGATTTTAGATGAAATGATAGCACTTTCAGCAATGTTGGAGGGACTGAACTTCTAGAAACAGTGTAAGCACTTGACTGCAACTTTTAACTTACAATTCAACAGGATTTAAAAGAGCTGGTTAAATATTACGCTGTTATCCAACAGGGCACTGCATTTGCCACTGATTTACAGTCAGACTGATTGTCTACCCACTCAAAGTCAGTTTTCTGTCAGCTCTTTACAATATGGCATCAGTTATCCAAAATGGTCTTTGAGTGGTATGCTAGCTACCCAGTACAGTCATTAGACCTGAAGGTTTGTTTCCTCTATAACATGAATGTGCTCAATACATTTAATGACAGTCTTACTTGTTATTACTACTCTACAACCAAAACCGCAGTAACTACAATTTTGGTCCAAACTGAGTTATGATTGTAATTTTAATTTAACTAAATGTCTGTTTTAAATTGTGACAGGTTTTTTTCTTTCTTAGAGAAAAACTATGTAAAACTTTGCTTTGTTATCTCGGAGCTTTGCATGTGATGAACCCCTCGGGGAAAAGCAAAGTCTGTATTTTACTTGAATAAACTAACATTATCCTTCGTAGTCTGTATGATTGTTGATTGATCTCCAAATCACAAATTTTACGAAAACTTCCTGTAAGTCAGTTTTGTGTTAATTGTACAGTTTATCAGTTATTCTGCTCTGTTCTTGCTATACATTGAATATCCCTAAATATATCACTTAGTCAGGGGTTGATAGAAAAGGGGTCTCTTTAGGAAAAAGGTTGGTACGTCATGCACAAAGATGACAGTTTAGTTGCACTTGACAACTTTTTCTTTGGTAATGTTTACACTGACTCTACTTCCTTGAAGTCATAGTCAGTTATATTAACATGATATCTGTGAGTGTTTGGTTTGGCTGTGATGTGGTAAGGTGAGAAATACCTGAGAGAAACGGAGGATTACTTGCTCCAGGAAACAATGTAGTCTACCTTTCAACCTTGGTTGATTTCCACTGAAAAGAACTAACAGAAACAAATAAGAAGGTGTTGAAATATATCAAAAGTGTGGTGACATTGATACTGCAGTAAAACAGAAACTATTTAAAGTAGTCAGGAGCAAGAGGATGAATGATATACAAACATCCATAAACAGAATAAACACAGAATACAATGAAAGATTTGGATCTGACATGCTATAAAGATCTACAAATCTTCACCAGTTCTACAGCAGTAAATTAAACCCAAACATTTCCGCAAATGACTAATTGCTAATGAGCAGTGGTGCCAATAATGACTCAGCTCCCTGTGTGCGATACATTTACTCTGCCATTAAACTGGTCCTAGATCTGCACAAAGCCACACCCGCAGTGACTGTAAACAGGGCTTCCTGTTAGCCAGTCATTAGTCTTGCCAAATCACAACCTGGCTCATTCATTCATGGCACAACTGAGGCGCTGTGGCCGTGGCTTGAAAGAGAAAGCTGAATGGGGTGGCACAGCCACATCCGTCTTCTCAGCGAAGTACTACGTACGGTTGTGCACTAAAAGGTTGTGTGTATGTTTATGCATTATCGTTGGTTAAACACTGAAGCAGCGTTTCAACGGTGTCTGAACAGCTCATGTATAGTTTTATGGAGGATTGATGTTGATGATGCAGTGCATGCTTTGGATGCTGTGAAAAGTCAGTCTTATGCTATGAATAGGTTGTTTTTAGTATGCACAGGTTTTACTCACTAGATCTGACGATACAGACATAAGACATGCAGCAAGGGACATGACATTTATTACAACCATAAAAAAACAACTTAAGACTTGACTTTAAATAAACGTGGTGACTGGTGAGCGTCACTGTTCCTTGTAAGTATGTTCTGCAGGGAAGATGAAACAACTGCAATTCCAACAACAACCTGTGTTATTGTTTGAACATGGGAATTATATGAAAATGTCTGTATTTACTATCAATGCATTTCTTTCAATTCATGATTAAAACTGTTAATAAATAAGTTAAAAACGTTCATTTTACATAAATGAAATCATTTATGTGATAAATGAATGCTGTCAAGTGAACTATAATCATTTAGCAGTAGTATAGCACAGAAAGTAATCTAGTAGTGAATAAATAGCTAAAATAACATAGCATCTCTTTCCTTACTTAACTCTAATCTGTCATCTGTTGCATATTCCTGTAGTACTGAGGCACAGTTGAGATGTAGACTTTTTACTCATGATTTTGTATATTGGTGTTCTTATTTGGCAGGTTTAACTCATCGGCTTTTCAACCCAAGCTTGGGACCTTTATATTGTTTGGGTAAGTACATTTAACAAACAGATCCCTCACAGCCACGTTAAACTTGGAAGTGATACAACAATCAGTCAGTTTAACATTAATTTCATAATAAATCTGCCAATTGTGCCTAGGATAGATAATAAAATATAGGTGTGTAAGTGTGTGGTATCATTCTTAAGGTTGCTCTGTGGTCATCAAAAAAGGATGGCAAAAGCTTAGAATGTTGTGAATTTAAAAGTGTTAATTAGATCATCATCAGGTTGCCATAAGGTGTAGTCATGATTGCCTATGCATATGGAGTAGCTTGAACTACAAGGTTAGATCACACTAAATCATGTTGTGCTTATGTGTTCTTCTGTTTATTTATTTTTTAATATTTGTTTATTTTTCTCTTTCAAATTTACATTGAAGAATGGTGGAGCCTGTGAAGCTGAGAGTCATCATCGAGGAGGATGACTTCAGAAGACTTGATCTCCACTCAGGAAAGCCAAAGACTTTAATGGACTTGCACAATACAATTCATGATGCATTTGGAATTGAAAGAGGCTTTCGCATTCAGTTCATGGATCCTGACTTCAATAATGAGTTCATGAACATTACATCGATGCAAGACATTCAAGACAGAGGAACAATTAAGCTTGTGTACATGCAAAATGATCTGGATATGAGTCCCACTTCGAGGCTGAACTCTCCAAGCACTCCTGGACCATCTGCAAGTCCATCAAACATTCACACATCTCACAGTGTGTCCTCATTGTCTTCATCTGACTCCGACACCACCATCATTCTGTCCCATTCAGACAGTGAGCTGAGAGCACGTGCATGGACTTCACCATTCCTCGCTTTCCATATGATGTGGAGGTGCAGCTTCAGTGGGGAAATGAGATATTCAGAGAGACTGGCACAAGTCTGAAGATTACACCAGGGTTGAAGTCTGACATCCTAGAAAAGCTGGCTGAAGACATTTTCCAGTACACAGCATATCCACAAAATCACCAGATAGATGATGTAGCAGGGGCACTCATCAAAAAATTTCCCTGTTTGCGAGAGTTGTCTGCCACTGGATACTACAGCTGGATGATTAGCCTGAAATACAAAATGGCTAATTACCGTACAAAGATGCAGAACATTGGATGTCCTGAAGTGACTGTTAATGCGTTGCAAAATAAATTGAGATGAATGCTTCCCAGCCAGAAATGTAAAGAAGGCTAAAAAGGCAGAGGTCAACTATTGTCCTTCTTATCCCACTGGTGAAACAGATGAAAGTCTGGAAAAATTGAGAGTTGAACTTTTGAATGATGTCAGACAAAGAAACAGGGCATCAAATGTAAGACAGAAGATGTCTAAAACTTTCTCCTACTGAAGAAAAGAAGTAGTGCATGGAAGTCCAGGTGCTGTAGAGTTTAAAGTGAGGTGGCCTGCACTTTTCCATATTGATGAGGTAAATACAGGCTTGCTTCCCTCCTGTGTGCCTCTTTTCATTGTGCATTTTCACTGTGCGTTATGATTTAAAGAATGGTATTTCTCTTAATGGATTAAAGTCACTTGACTAAAACATGGTACACAAATGCTTATGCCATGAAAACAACCTCAGTTGATTGTGAGGTATTGGATCACCATTACGTAAATCACTAAACACAGTGCTCGTTGTCTTCTGCCACTTTCTTTTATGTGTAACAGATAAATGCTGAATTTCAGCGAATTACAACACATCCACTTGAGACAACCTTCATGGCACAGTTGGACAGTCTTCAGCCTCAGCTCACATCAGTTTTCCAGAGGAAGGGAGTTGTCACAGGCCAGAAACTAGCCATCTGCAGATCTTACAAGAGGTAACTATGTTCATTTAATGTTGTTTAAAATTAGTCATATGTGTGCTTTGATGTACTCTCTTAAGTATTTGTGAAACCCATTTTGGTTTCAGTAACAGCCTGTATTATTACTGTAAGACACATTTCCAAAGAAATGATGATGAAAGGTTATAGTAGCAAAATCAGCCCTGTTTTCTCAGGTGGGGGAGTGAACATAAACTCCCATACATGTCACGTATTATATAACCACACATCACTATTATTTTGTAATCAAATGAATAAGGTTATTTACATTATAACCAAAGGTTGAAAATTCAAAATATTTTTGTAATTATTCAAGTGTCTGGAAATGTTTTTAATCAGTGGAATCTCTTCACAGAGGCTACAAGTGATGTTCATTCAAAAAGGGCAGCAGTCCTCAGGGCACTTTGCCTCTACCTTGGTGAGGATGATGGACATCTTATCCATGAGTATATGGTAAGTTAGTGTATTTGCTTTTTTGTCATTTTTGAATGTAACTTGTATTCTAAACCTGCTCAAGGATTCTAAAGTTGTTGCCGTAGCTGTGGCTTGCCACTGGGTCTTTCATATCTGACAGAGGTTTCTAGAGTGTGTAAAATAATAATTTACTGTTACAGTGCACTATAATAGATTACTTGACATGTTGTGATGATTCTAGTGCTGCTTTACCTGTTCAAGTCAATATGGTAAAATTTTTATTTGTGTCGTTTACAGTATATGATAGATCCCAGCATGGAGTCAAAGCACATCACATAATACCAATAAAACAACTTGATGCACAAATGTAGCTTGCGTGGACAAAGTATTCAAATGTTTCCCTTTTCTCCTATTTAATTAAAATATGCAGGACATCGAAGGAAATGACATCCAGACAGGCATGCAGAGGTGCACCATGGGCATTTATGTCATCAGCAAGGAGAATGGAGATCCTGGACATTATGATGACATTGGAATTTTTGTTGAAGGAGTGATCATCCTGGACAACATTGGATCTGAACCCAGGCCTGTGCAGTGATGCTTGGAGTGATCTACGCACTGAACCTGGCCTACCCCAAAGAACTGAGACACTACTACGAATTCATTCAAAAAGTACTCATGCAGATGGATGGGGAAAAGCTCACCCCCAGGGTACTTGGCCTAAAGAACAAAATCAGTGTTGGACTGTAGGAATTTTTCAGCCATACTTGTAATGACCTGATGTGGTTCTTTGTTTATTCTGTTAATTGTGAAGGGATGTCTAGAGTGATCTCAAATGCAACTGCAGTAAGTGTTTCACGAAGATGAGAAAATGTTTGTGTACAGGATAGGAGTATTCACACAGCCAGGGGTGAGGACATTACACCCAACACACTAACTTACTGCTTCTTCTGTGTGTTATGGCTGTAATGAAGGATCACCTCTCTTGTGTGCTCCAGGCCAATATTCAACAGAGTGACAGGATATTCACTTGAATTTATCTTCTTACACTCAACCAAGCCATATGTTTTATTATATCTGTTCTTCAGTGAACCTTTGCAGTTTCCATAATTTTGTGATCTCAGAGTCAGGCAACCTGTGTTTGTTTCCCAGACATGGGCCACTCTGGTATGGTTTGGGTTTGAATGTTGCTGAAACTTTTTTTTCTCCTGGTAATGTTCTCAATTGAAGGTATAGGTATATTGTGAAAAAGCTGTAAAGTAGCTCTAGAAAGGGTAACCACGGCTTTACTTGTAACAGGGAGAGAACTAGTCTGCTGCCTTGTCTGTGATCAGGACGCTACACAAATGTGTCAGTTTATATTATGGTTGACAGAATCTGAACAGCGGGTTTCTGCTTTCTCGTGTTTAATCGCTTTAGTAGAGGCTTTTAAAAGATAAGGGTTATTGTTAAAACAAGTATTGTGGTTTATGCGGTTTTCCTTTTACAGGTTCTTGTCTTACAATACACATGGTACATGTTGAGAGCAAAAATTGCCTCCTGTCTTGTCTCTGATCAGGAGACTCCACTTAGAATGTATCAGTTTGTAACATATTCATGTATCTGTTAAAAAACAGTGTTTGGTATCTCTGCACTTAATATTTACAGGTGTTCATCTTATAAAAATATTATTGGGTCATTGGAGTGCTCTGATGTGAGATGTTAAGAATTTGTATCATATTATAGTTTGTTGTCTAGACACATTTGTGGTTCTGTGTGGTGAATGATGCTTAGTGTTAAATGTATTAAAAGTTGAACTAATTATAGCTAAAACATTTAATTAGAATCAACTGAATTAAAAGGTTTAGTTTTAAACAATTTAATTGGTTTGAAAGTGCACAACAAAATTGAAAAAGCATACATAATTTATTTAAGTACATTCAAAATGGGTTTAATTGGACTTACTAAGGACATTTAAGTGAAATGTACTCCAGGTAATTGAGGTAAAATTACTAATATAATTTATTCGTTCAACAAAACCTTTTTTTCAGTGTTTATATTAGATAGGGATTAGTCAGGATTTTTGTCTGAGAAAGTTAGCTCTGTTTTGTTTGTTGTTTTGGCCTTGGTTCACCCTGAAGTTTGTTTTTGGTGTTGTTGCACTTTGTTCACCTGTTTGTAAATAAATCACATCACTTGATTGTTAACACTGTGTTAGTTGTTCGTTTGGGGATCGGGGTAGGATTATTGGTTTATTTTCTTCATACATTTATGTGGCGCTCCTTCCCCCTAGACAGGTGGAATATATACATAAAAAGGGCACCGACATGTAGACAGTGGTGATGCATTTATGGTGAAACAGCTTAGTCATGTTTAAGATTAACACCCTAGAGGGCACTTTATTAGGTTTTGTCTGCTGGAGGAGCAACTTAGAGCATTGGTTCCCAACCTTTTGCCTTAAGGGAAGCCTTTTCTGTCATTAAACGGTAAACGGATGACCCCTGTGTACTTGTAATGTTTTTGTGCTTTTTGTTATGCATTTTGAATTAATCTATCTTGGATTTAATTTATGGATGTAAATGTAAAATATAAAAAGTATAGTTTTAGTTTTCCTGAAGTTAATTCCTGATGTTTGAGTATCTTGACTCTGCCAGTGTATGCCAATTAATTTTCCTGTATTTAATGGAGGGTCATTGCGGAGGTTCGTACATGAAGGAACCCTGCATCAAATATATGTGTGTGGCTGGTAGAAAGCTGCATTTGAACGACATTTTGTTCATGCAAGAGAGCAATGCTGAATGCTGCCACATCAGACAATATGGACAAATACAGTGCACTTGGGTTGCTCGCAGCAATTAAAACAAAAGATACAGTGGGGGACAGGCACCAGGTGAGGTAAAAGAAAAAAACACCAACTGGACTGTATTTACATACTTCTGGAAATGAATGAAACTTACTCACTGAGAAATAAGGTATGTTTTTTTCTATAGAATATGGCAACTTTTGAATCTCCAATCTCACATGATTGAATGATGGTCCACTTGGTCTCACCATACTCAACGCCATATAGTGTTCGGAAAGACTGTTTCCAGCTAGTCTATCTATATATCTCTCAAATCTCGCAACTCCTTTTGTTATTTTGTTTGTTTTTGTTTTTAATTACTTAATAATCTATTTGTTTAGTCTTGATCCACTTCTTTTAGTCTGTTAAGCCCCCAGTATTGTTCATTTATCTTAATTTATTTTTGAGATGTCTCTAATATACAATAGCCATTTATGTATTGAGAGTGTGTTCCCTCTGTCAAAAAGGGGGTTTCAGAACCTGTTAAATGGTCAAAGAAGCACTTAATTTGAAGCATACTGAGACCTTTGAAAGCCAGCTTCAACAATTCCCACATGTTCTAGTTGTCTGAATTAGTTTTGAGTAGACTTAGGAGCCTGTCCTCACGAACATGTTTTTCTCGAATCCGGATAAATACATACGGACGGAACGGCGTTTTTGGGGTGTGAAAACGGTATTTTTTGGAAATGGGTCCCAGAGTGGGAAAAGCCAAAAACGCCAGATTGCCTGGAGTCATCTGGACGGCGAAAACTGATTTTTTCCGAAATGATGACGTATTAGCCCCGCCTCTCTAGCCTTTAACCTCAGCGTCATAATAACAACAACAACAATGGCAGACTATTACTACTTGTTTGTTAACAGCGCATGCTCCATGGCTCCTCTTCCAGTTTTAGTGTATTGGTGCGGCAGCGTCACAGCGCCACATACAGGCCTGGCATATGTACTACAGCGTTTTGGGTCGTTTCAGTGAATCCGTGTGGACGCAGATATTTCTGGAAACGACGCCGTGTTTACGGAGATTTTTTTCAAAATGACATCGTATTGGGTGAGGCCGCGTATTCGTGAGGACAGTATCTTAGTTTAGAGAGAAACTTAAAAAAGCCCCGTCGCCTTCAGCAATAGAGTCATTTTTATTCCATGTTGTGCAGATTTAACCTTTATTTTATGTGGTTTGAATCATCAGCCAATTAAAAGTGAACCTTGGCACAGACACACCACTTATAGTGTCCTAATTACAGTTTGTCTCTTTGGAGATTAGACAGTTTGTTAATGCTCTGGACAGAGTCGAAGACATACAGTTAGGATTGTTACTGTCTCCTGGTTTTATTCCATAGTGATCTGCTTTACCTTTCCCTCCTTACTAACCTGTCCTTTGCTCCCTGTGTTATCTGAGGAATGTAGAGGACAGTATGACAATTAACAGCCCCGCGCTGTTACTTTTACACCACAATAAAGTACTGTGACATTCCTCCTGTTAGGGCAGACTGCACTGGTATGCGGAGTTGCAGTCAAACCACTCACAGAATGTTATGGTAGTCACCTCGTCTGACTTGTGATGTGGGTGTGTCTGCTGACTCATAACAGAGCGGGCATGTACACCACGTCTCCATGCAGTAATCCTTTCAGTAGGCTTCCATTAGACAGCTGCACGCTCCAAATTTGGCACCAGACGTTTTGAAAACTGCTCATTCTCTTTCTGTGCTTCACTTCACTCAAATCACCTCTTTCTTTTTTCCCATTTTGGATCTCATTATTTCAGTCGGTCCACATTGAGAGAAGTGGCAGCAGACTAAATAAGGACTCTATATTTAAATGGAAGATTCCATTGGATGTAATTTTACACTGACTACTGCTTTGACTCATTTTAGTACAGCTCAGTTAGTCACAACACTTCAAAGCATTGTGGCTAATTTAGGTTCAGTCCAATTAAATTTACTCATTTCCCACACCTACTTATCCTATTTAGATTTTGGGGGTGTGAGTACATTTCCTGGATGATTACATCATAAGTAGCTAAATACAGCTGGGGAATGCAGCCTTGTTTTGCACATATTAAGAGAATGCGTTTGGTGTGGCCATTGCTGTTGTTGGTTTCCCTCCAGGTCATAGCTCTACCTGTAGACCAGGGGTGTGTCTAGAGGGGTCTCTAAAATAACACTGGGGTGGAGATAAATAAATAATAGCCTAATGGGTGCACTTTCAATGAGAGAGAG